GCCGTTGTCAAACTTGATATGGTTTAGACAATTAATGTATAAAAAATCTACACAAAAGATAAATGTCTGGACCTGCTCGTCTAGTCTCATCTACCCATGTGTATGGGAATAAATAATAGTTTCATCTTGAATAACAATTTAAATTATAAGTACATACATATATAATATTGTCATAACTAAATTTTAATCTATTTGCTTTCAATTTAATTTAATTTTTTAAAGGGAGTAAAATTTGAAATTTAAAGATAGGGGAATAATTTTGATTAAAAGACTGATTTGTCAACTTATGAATAAACTAAAGTTATAATGTGTTTTTGTCCTTCTCTATTATATATTCATTTTGAAAAAGATGATCATGATATCGTAGTTATTCATTATCAAATTTAACTTTAAACTCTAATCAAGTTCAAATATTAAAAAGATGATGAGTTTATTTTGTACTTGGAATTCCATATGCTCTAGGACTCTTATATTTTAAATACAAATATCAATGTATAGAAAATAAAGGAGGGAACATATCAAAATCTCTACATTAAGGGGAGATAACAAATTTATATTTCGAGAGCAGACCTAAAAGAAAAAGCAAAGCAAAAGGCCAGAAATCCCACACAAAACCTAAAAATCTTCCATTAATGATATGGAAAAAAATGCTTCCCTATCCATCTCTTGTTTTCTTTCTCTCATTGGTGTCTCTTTAAAAACAAAAGAATAAAAAATCACAAACTACTGACCAACTGCCATACTAATAGCTCTACTGATTCTAGCACATCAATGCCAACATATCCACGATAGATCCAACTTTTCCCTTCAATTATTGGCTAGTCTCACAACAATTATCTCCACCTCTCTCTAAAAAACTAAAGCTTTTATTAACAATAAAACTACGTTGCTCTCTCTTTCTCTCTCTTACAAACCTATATGCCTAAAACGACCATCAACAACCCCTAAACACCACCACTTACAACGGACCTATTATCATACAAAACTTTTTTTTTTTATTCAAGGAAACCTCATCTCCTGGAAAGTACATTTTGTGGGTCTAGGTGAGTGAGTAAAACCCCGACTATCTTATGCTCTTACAAGAGATGCACACCTTGACTCGAATTCAAAACTTATTATGCAGATCTCAAACCTTTTGTCATCACGTTACGTCCCTTGGGGACCATTATCATATGAAACCTATAACCTTTTATAGCAACACCTTTCTTCACTTAGTTGTTTCAATTGAACTAGCCTTCAAAATAATCAGCTTACAACAACACCATGAGTCACATGACCAGCAACTCTTTTTACTTTAGCTCATATACCAACATCTTTTTCTCCTAAAATATTAGCATAGATGTGAGGATATGAGGGGATTAAATCAATTTTGTTGTGTGAATTTTTCTAATTTTAAAAGATAATATTAATTCTCACCACAAGCATAGATAAAAAAATGAAATGAGAAGCTACCCAATCTTTTTTTCCATGCTCAATCCAGGACTTCAAAGCGTCATCCACGCACCATCGTATGTGGCAGTGCATGACAAACACGTGTTGTTGGAACCCACTGTTACTATAGCATCTGGTTTTATTTTAGTAGTCTCATCGTATTTAGCAACACTATTGAAGGTTGATTTAGAAGCTGAGATTTGTGTTTTCAAATTAATTGTTTGTATTTGTTGTGAGTATTTTTTTTAGCATTGTAAAAGCGGATGTATGAGTAGATTAGTAAAAATAGGCGTATGTGATTCATGATTTCATATTTTTTAACATGTGTTAAAATAATAACATAAAAAAATAAAAAATATCATAAAGTTTTTTTATTAACCATTTATAAAATTTACATAATGGCCAAATCCTAAAATAAAATTTGAAAAATGTATTTGCATTAACTTATGATTACTTAGCATAACAAACAACTCAAAAATATTTTTGCAAGTTTTAGTATTTTTTATAAAGTTGTTGTTTTATCACTTTTTGATTAAAAAAATATTTTTTTTGCTTTCATATAAACTTTATAATAAGTTTATAAAGTCCATTAGAATTTGACTAAAATAAAACGATCCATTAGGCCTGTATATAAAATACTAAAAACTCATCCCTTTGAAAAGGTCCAGAGCCTAGTTCTGTCATTCTTGCAGGTTCAATGACCATTTTAAAACTCAATCCAAAAATGTTTGAGGTAAGTGAATTCACAATGAGTATCAATCTCGGTATTTACAACTCTCTAGTCAGAAATATCAACTCCAATATTTATTGATGCTAGAGTAAAAAATATCAATCTTAATATTTGTTGATGTTAAGGGTCAAAAATATTATAAATAAACTATTGATAACATAGCACAACAACTTGTAGTAATTTAAGACAAAACTAACAGTGCAATCTGTCTAAGGTAGAACACTCTTTCCTCTGGTGTAACAAGTCCATTGCCATAAAATCTCTGGAAATCAGCTAGTATTTCTAATGGTCATAATACTAGGTAACAACTCCTTAAATAAGACATATCCCTTCTAATAAAAAAATGCCATATATTTATTATTTTTTCTAGTTTTTAATGGTTGTCGCCACATTGGGAATAACATATTATTTGCATAAAAAACAACTGCAATCAATAACTTTCCATCATATCGCTTATATAAATGTGTGCCATCAACACTGATAAGTGATCTACAATACTTGAAACCTTCAATAAAAAGTCCAAATGACCAAAACACACATCTAAAAATCATTATCCTATAATCAAGATTTTCTTTGTGCATCTAATCAATGACTATTTTGGATTTGATTCTTTTATTATCAACAATAACTTAAATAATTTTTTAAAAGATTCCTCGTGTGAACCAAAAAGATACTTGATGACCTTTTGTTTTGCAACTCATGCTTTATCATATAAAATTTTATACTTGTAATGTAATTTTATTTCATCCTATATGCTTGCAACCATCAGGCTTGATGACCTATTTCATCCTATATGCTTGCAACCATCATTAAAAGCTTATTCATTATAAGGGTTAACATAACATTAGCAATACAATTTTCATTAATTTGATGATGGTTTTTTTTTCACAAAGGTCAAAACACATATGTGTTGCCCTTTTAACTTTGTTATATAAAATGAATCTGACATTTTATGACTCCCACAAATACAAATTACATTCAAGTTCTTGCACATATTATAATTGAACAAATATGGAGTTTGATTGTTGGACTCAGTATTCAATAAATATGCAATATGCGATCATTTAACAACATTAACCTATTCATTTTTACTATTGAATGTTTATCCAACCTTCAACTTAGACCTTCTTGAAAAAAAGTTTATGACTTTATGCGCGCCATCATTAGAAATAGCAAAACTAGACCCAAAAACACTCCCAAATTCAAGAACAAGAGGTATGATTTCATTATCACTTCATCATCAATATCATTATCAAAGTCGTCATCATCATTCACCATCACATTTAGGTCTAACATATCATCATCCTCTTTGTCACTAGGTTCAAAATAGTCAAATCTATGTTGATCATTAAATGAATTGTCAAACATAGTATCATTTATCCTTTACAACAATCAACTCACAATAATTGTTTTTACCTCTACTAACTAAATTTGAATGACCAGTAGAAGTTGGGACATATAAAGATTTTGATTGACTACTCATATACAACATCATCATGTTTAAACCATTTTGGGTGAAAGAGTTAATAATTGTTTTAAAACTACTGTTACACATAATTGGTACAAGATAATATTAATGTTAACCAATCTGATACCTCTAAGTTATTTTAACATCAATATTATTATAATTCCATTGAAGTCCATGATAAATAGCTTTTTTTTCATTTGTGCATATGACATGCTTAAATTACTATTTAACAACAAACTGCTCTCACCATTGTATGTTAGACTATTGTTTATAACATGAACAATAGTGTTACCATAATGACATAACTTAAATATATTATAAGACATTCTATTAAAAAAATCAGATTTTAATCAATTGAATATAATTATATCTAAATTGCATTATCCTAACACTGTTTTCATGATATTTTTAATGTCCAATTGCATTAAATCAAACATGTATTAATAAAAAATTAATAAAATTAAAAAAATATCAAATTATCAACAATTCAACAAAAAAATTAATTTGTCATAATTTTATTATGATCAAGCTCTCATCCACGATATCATCAAATATAGTTAATTACATTATTGATTGATTCCACCAATACACATAAAATTTCTAATTTGAAAACTTAATTTCAATTAACCGTAACATATAATTAATTTATAATTAATTTAACTTATTTTTATGTTCAACTATATGAAATCAACTTTAATTGATTATATTCTTAACTAATTTCACATTAATTCAACAAATTCTAAATTTAATCTAAATAATTATTTTATTTTAATCAAATAAAATATAAATTTATAACAATATAATATATTTATCTGTAGGAATAGAAAAAAAACAAGGATGGTGGCATCAACAATGATGAAAAATATATCGATCAATTTTGCTCATAAAAACATTTAATGATGCTGACAGACCACCAATAAGTTTTATTTTTGGGTTGTTTAAAGGGTTAAATGAAGGTATTTGATGGGTTTTATAGAAAGAAAGTGAAGATGGCCGTCGGTTGGAGAGAGAAAACTATGATTTTGTATTTATTATGTATTCTTTAATCAGGGTTTAAATTTTAATTAATATTACGTTTGTCAAGCATGACATTTACTTTCTCGTGATTTGCGAGATTTACTTAAAAATCACATTTTTAGTGACAATATCAAAATATGTTATTTCATAAAAAAAAAAAAATCAAACAGTGCTATTCTCACGAAATTTTACATTTACTATCTTAATTTTACATAAAAAAAATCAAATTTTACATTTACTATCTTAATTTTACAAAATAAAAAATCCAAAGTTGAAAGAGGAGAGTGGGGAGGAAGAGAGTCCCCACAACTGGCTGTCCCCGCTGCTGGACAAAACTGCCAAATAATGCTATTGGGATCTTTCAAACCAGACAACCCCCCACCCCTTCTTCTTCTTCTTCTTCTTCCTCTCCCCTCTCTCTCTCTCTGCTAAACCCTCACCAACTCTCAACTCCTTTCACTTGTTACTCTAATTTACATCTTTCTAGCTGACTCGAGTGGTTTTAATTTTTCTACCCTTCGTTTGATTTTAAGTTTTACCCATCTTGATTAATTCTTCTTGGGCTCCATTTCTATAACTACTACTGCTACTGCTAGTAGCTAAGTTATTTTCTTTCTCTTTTCCTGTAGAGAATTTAATATCATTATATATAAGAGTTTCAGCAGGAGCAGAACACAAAGGAATATATTAATTTTTGAGGTTGTGTACATGGGGTCTCTCCTTCTGCTCCTCGGGGGTTACATTTATTACTATCGTTTTGTTAGCATCACAATGGAATGTTGGTGAGGAAGTGAGAGGTGGAGAGAGAGAGAGAGAGAGGGAATTTAATTTAAAGCTCTCGCTCTGGCAACAACTACTGCTCATCAATGGAGAGGCTCCAAGGACCCATTAATCCTTGTGTATGTTACTCTTGTTCATTTTCTTTTTTTCACTCTTTCTTTCTTTGAGTACCTTAACTAGAATAAAAGAAAAGGACTTGCATTTACTTATCCAAATGCTTGCATTCAATGCATTGCATTATTTTTCTAGAAGTGCTAACGTTTACTGCACTGCTTCCTTTCTTCGTTTGTTTCACTCTATCTATTGAAACTGAACACCCATCATATCCTTGAAAGTTGGTTTTTCTCCACACCTCCTCAGAAGGTTAGGTTTAAGAATCCAGCCAAGAGTTTCCCTCATTGCCTTTCTTTCTCTCAAGATTTTTTTCTTTTTCTTATTAAGTTATTGTTTTCTTCTTGCAGTTCTTAGGGGAGCATAACTTGGATTTCGAATGCTTAGACCAAGGATTTATCAATACAGAAAGCTTAAGATTTGGAGAAGAAGGACCATACTTTTCAAGCCCAATCTTTGATGAAAAAATGCCTTTTCTTCAAATGCTTCAAACAGTAGAAACCCCACCCACTTTTCCCTTCAAAGAACCCAGCTTTCAGACACTACTCAAACTCCAACACCTCAAAAAACCATGGAATATGAACAATTATTACATGCCTGAAACAGAAAGCCAAGTTCAACCACCGGAGCTTGAAAGTTGTGTCACCCATGACATATTTGATTTACACTCACCAGTCAAATCTGAAACCAAAGAACTCCCAAACCCACACTCAAATTCCTGCCTCGAAGGTGTAAGTCCTGAGCCCGCTGAACCCTATTCAGGTTCCTTAAATCCATGGGGTACTCAACCACAAACCGTACCTAATATTAAGACCCAGTTCTCCAAATCCACTACAATAATCACCAGAGAAAGAAGAAAGAGAAAGCGTACAAGGCCAACCAAGAACAAAGAAGAAATAGAGAGCCAACGCATGAACCACATTGCTGTTGAACGCAAACGCCGTCGCCTAATGAACGACCATCTTAACTCTCTCCGTTCTTTCATGCCACCCTCTTATGTTCAAAGGGTAATCTTAAAATTACTAATATTAATTACTATCTACATTTTCAGTTTGCAATTATTGTTATTATTACTCTCAAGAATTCAATTTTAGACTCAAGATTTCAAAATCCTTAGTTTCCTTTTCCACTCTTTGCATCCACGACTCATTTTTAAGTCTTGTAGACTTGAAAGTGACGGTGTCTTTCTTTTGTTGTTGAATAAAACAGGGTGATCAAGCATCTATAATAGGAGGTGCAATAGAATTTGTGAAGGAACTAGAGCAGCTTCTTCAATCTCTCGAAGCACAAAAAAGAATGAAAGAAATAGGAGCAGGCTCCACCATCGGCATTTCTTCCAACCAATACTTTACTTCGCCGCCACAAAGTGACAATCTGGCGGAGGAAGGAGGCAAATGTGAAGAGATAAGAACAGTGAAGAAGAAGTCGGAGGCGGCGGAGATAGAGGTGACTGCTGTACAAAACCATGTAAATTTGAAGATAAAGTGTCAAAGAAGTCTTGGGCAGTTGGTGAGAGCTATTGTTGCATTGGAGGAACTTAGCCTTACAGTTTTGCACCTTAACGTTAGTTCTTCCCAAGCAACAATTCTTTACTCATTCAATCTTAAGGTAATACCACTTTGTTCCCCAAGTTAATTCATAGTTTCTTCTTTCAGGTCAACTATTTTTTACCAGCCAGCTAGCTTGGTTCTTGCCTAATCCAAAACCCTATTTTCATGTCAGATACATATATATTTTTTTATGGGTTTTATTATGGTGTTGTAATGACAGTTAGAGGATGATTGTGAGCTGGGATCAACAGATGAGGTAGCAGAAGCAGTTCATCAAATATTCAGCAGTTTCAACGGCTAGCTGATTGGTCTGTATGGTAGGAGTGCTACCTGGCAAGAGAGGCAGGTTACAGCTGAATTTATAGGATTATTACAGTACTGCCTTCTTCTTTATGGAAAACAAGAAAATGTAATTTTGGCTTCATGAGGGTGGTAGATGAGGAGCAGACTAGGCAGAAGGGCACGACCATTTGTCTCCATTCTAAGCTAGTACCACAGAGAGGACTGCTGCCAGTACACAGAAGTGCACAGAAGCAGATGATGTTTATTGCTTAACCTGCTGAAATAGTTTGCCTCGCTCTGTCTTTTTTTTTTTTTTTTTATTTAGCAGGAAGGGGGGTAAAAGAGTTGCTTGGATGAAGGGAAGCGTGGGTGGGCAACGCTGGGAGTTAGGGGCATATAGAACAGAAATAGTTTGCCTCGCTCTGTCTTTACTCATTCAATTTTAAAAAAATAATTGTAAATTAAAATCTTAATATGTGTCTAATAAAATAAATTTATAATTATGCGTACCAATAAATATTTTTTTTAAATGTTAATCTATTTAAAGATTAAGTTGGGAGGTTGAAAAACAAACATAAGATATTTGTTTATTAGACAACATTTTAATTATAAAGGCAAGTTTTAAATAAAAAATAATATTCTAATAATATAGAAGCTAATGCATTAGAAGAATATAAGAATATTACATTGCATGACTTTTTGATGGTGCATCATTTATTTATAATTTTTGTTGAAATGAGCAGACCATTCATCACCTATTTATTTTTTTAATAAAACAGATGACACCTCGTCAACCATTTCAAGTAGATGAAAAATCTAGTCCCTACACTTCAAATGAAGAAAATTCATTTTTGATGTTCTTTTTCTCTCTAAAAAATACCTCATAAACCTTAATAAAACCAATTTCTAATCTGAAAATAACCTTTAATCAACCTAAAAAGCAAAAATCATCCCAACTTAAAATAATTTTTGAATCCCAATCTATTTTTCTAGCAAAATAAGAGGTTAAAAATACCGAAATAAAACTTTTTTTATAAAATAAAATCTATTAACATCAAAATCAATTTTTTTATTAATAGAATGAGAATAAGAAATAAATTTTTATCCTCTCTCTTCTTTTTTTCTCAACTCTCACTCCTCACAAAATAAAACGATTGAAACACAAAACAAATAAAGTGTAAGACTCAAACATCAAAATCTTAATAAACAGGGATTGAAAATAAAAAATAAAAGAAACTTTAGAAAACAAAATTTTAAAATTCACACCACATGAATATTAAGAAAAAGGAAAATTTTTTTATCTCATTATCAAATTTGATCCACATAATTTTAATTTGTTCTGAATAATAAAATTGAATTCTATTCTATCAAATTGAGTATTAATTTAATGTTAGGATAATTTATTGACACCATATAAATCTTACAATAATCTAAATAAAATAGATTATCAAATTTAATTCTTGATCACCATAATAAAGAAGAATGAAAAAAAGAAAAAAAATGTGGTGACTAGATTAAAAAATGCTTTTAAGGACAAAAAATAAATGGGGAAGCATTTCCCCAATTCGTAATGCTTTGTGTATAGATATCAATGTTTTAGCCACCTCTTTTATTTTTACAATGAAAAATGACAAATGTATCACTGATTGTATTCAAACTTCGTTGTATGTTGCATTTTATGAAATATTAACCACGTGCAATTTATTAATCATTTCTTCTTCGACAAGATGTATGAACATAAATATATTTTTTACTTGATGACATGCCACTACAACCTCTCTCTCTTTCTCTCTCTATATATATATATATATATATATGAATGTCTAACTTGATGAAGAATGAAAAAGAATTGAAGGAAATCTACTCGTCTTCGTAACGAGATTAATGATAAAGAGGCAAACTCATAAAAAAAAAATGTAGCATGTATTGTCAAAGGAATGATATGAAGAAAACATGTCAAAATAGATAGTATATATTAATAACTGCATTTGTTTTAAATTCTTAACATATATTATTGTTTTATAGTCATTTAATTTAAAATTTAATTGTATTACAATACTAGCAACTCTTTTTTGTAGGATCTGAAGTCAGATATTGTTTGAACTAAAGGAGGTTTATTTGCTTCTATTAACACCAACTAATGTGACTACTTAATTATACAGGTAGGTCTGGATTTTCACTTGTTCATATGGTTTAAAGAAATTATCAAATCTGTAATTAAGACTATCAAAACTTTAAAAGTAATTTTCCTCTCTTCATTCTTTAACTATTTAAAAAAAAAACAATTATCATTAATACTTGGGTTGATTTTAAAATCTAGGCTTAAGAATTCCTCCCTCCAAAGGTACTTTTCATCTCTTTATTATTGATTTTTATAATAATGTCTTTATGAGTTTTCAAAATTTTATTTAGAGTTAGCAACTTATGAAACATTAATCTTTCTTTTTCTTTTTCCTTTTCTTTTCCTTTACTTATGATTATTGTAAAAATACAATTTATGGCTTGATTGATGTGGGACAATGAGAAATTAGCTTTTTGGAACTTGAAAAAAAAAAAAACAAAGAGAGAAACAAATAATAAATTTCTTTCATGTATTTTTTCCATTGGTTAAGGTTTTTTTTTTTTTTTCAATGCTTGCCCCGTCAACTTTGTTTGTTGCATTTGCTCTTTTTAAACTCTTCATGCTATTTCATTCAAGGTTTTTTTCATGATATATATTGTCAATTATGCCACTCAGGTATGATTTTCTACTCGAGATCATCCGAGATCAGAGATGGTTAGATCAAATCTCCTACATGTGACCTTTTCAATATAAGGTGTATATATATATATATATATTTTTGATAAAGAATGAAAATATCTAATTGAGTTCCTTTTAAATTTAATTTACAATTTAGTAATTGAGCTGGGTTTAATTTGATAAAAAAGCCTAATAAATTTTTTTTGATTAAAAAGTCTAGAAAAACAAAACTCAACAAGAAATTGTTAAACCTCAATTTAATATATAGGCTCATTTAAAAAAAGAAGAAGCTCATTTAAAAGGATTAATTTTTCATGTTTTAATATAAAAAAAATGATCTTTATAGAAACGAACCAGTTCTATTTAAACTGGTTTTCAGTTCAATCCTGGTCATTTTATTAAGAAAAACAAAGCCCAAATCAATAGTGAACACCCCTGCAACTTCCTGCAGCTCCAGCATGACATGTCATAAAAAAAAAACATTGTTATTTGTAGCTACGTACGAAGGATATCTTGTTCTTATTAGCTTAGTCTTAACCTTTACCTTGTGGATTCATTCATCTTCAGATAAGAATAAAGGTTCAAGCAGGAAGGATTGCGAAGGTCATGTGGTTGAAGGACTGCGAAGGGCAAAAAGATTTTGATATGTAGAAGTATAATATAAATTATATTTTAAAATTTTATTTAATAATTTAAATTATTGAATTAAAATAATTTTTTGATATGATATATGAATTGTGTAAGTTTTAAACTTAAAATTTTTTATTTAAAAAAATATATTAAAAAATAATATAATTATATCCTAAAATTTATTTGGCAATATAAATTATTAAATTAAAATAATTGTTAATATGAAGGATAAAAATACAAAAATAAAAAAAAGTCAGAGGGGGGAGGAAGAAGTCTCTGAAAATTGTCATAAGGCTCAGATTGAGAGATGCGGACTGGACAGCAGCTATGGCCGCACACATCCCCATGTGCAGAAGCATCACCAACGTCCGGTCAGAGACAGATCATCCTTTCTCCAGACCAGTCCTAGTCATTTTGGTTTTTCGTGTCTCTTCTTCTGACAGCTTTTTGCTCCCCTCTTCCTTCTCCGGGGCCAGCCTCAATCTCTCCTCTTATAATTTCTTTTATATATATATATATATATCACGAATACATTTCTCTACGTGATTTATGGTTGAGTATATACTTTCAAAGAACAAGAATTAGCGGCAGATTGCTTATAATCCCGATTTATATTTTATTAAGGTGAAGCCAGGGGGCAACTTCCACCTTGATGACATCAATGGATCCAGAAGGAACATTGGGCGCACATATATATTGGAATAGGAGACTGCTTTATTTGGAAACCCGAGCCAGCATATTCAAAAACTAATCTCGTTTTCAGAGTTTCGTTGGCATTAGATTATGTGTTAATCTCGCATTTCCATATCATCATCAGCATTATCTTATCGTTACTTCTTCGAGCACATCAGCGTCTGGTATTCAGTAGAAACAGCTCTGTTTGTTTATTATCTACTGGAAAGGTTTGTCGTTGCTGGATGAGAAGTCGGAGGTCGTGGATTACCAAAGTCTTCGCCGTCAGCTGTGAAAACTCCGATGACGAAAAGTTTACGGGAAAAGGCAAAAGAAATAAAAAGAGAAGGAGTAAATAGAAACTACTTTATCTTCCTTGAAAATAAACCTTTTCATTTGTTTTCTCTCCTGATTCTTCTTCGGCATCTTCCCTGGCTTTCCTATGCCTAGTGACATGGTAATATCTTGCATATGTTCCTTGTGGTTGATGCATGCTGGTTCTCGTCAAATCCCTGATGTACCCGTTGCCCCCAGTACTCATTCAAATTCAGAGACATTCTGCAGAAAACTACAGGCACCATGTACTTCAGACGGACCTGATGTTTTGGCGCTCAGTCCGAGCCTTCACACGAAAACCGAAATATAATTTTTTTGGTTTTTAAAATAATTTTTTAATTTTAAATTAATTTATTTTTTATATTTTTAAATTAATATGAAAAATAATTTTTAAAAAATAAAAAATATTATTTCAATATATTTTCAAATAAAAAACACTTTAAAAGATAATCATTATCACTCTCTCAATCACCCTAAAATAATATTTTAAAAGATAATCATTGTCACTCTCTCAATCACCCTAAAATAATATTTAACATCTTAAAAAAATAATTCTTTTAATAATATGTTATATTTTTAATAATTAAATAATTTTGGTTTAAATATTACTATTCTGATTAAATTAAAAATTAAGTATTCATCTCAAAACACAACTAGTGTCCAATAACATGAGAAATTTTATATTAATAGTTATTTTATAAGTCAAGCAAAATAGATATTAAAAAGAAATTTACATTTGTCTAGCAAGAATATTTCGCCTAACATAAATAATAAATTCTTTAATCCTTTATCTTTTTTTTCTCTTTTTTTTTGTGTTTAATTTTTTTCCTATAGAGCAATTAACAATAATTAAACTTCAAGTTTTTTTTTAAAAAAAGATTATGATAACATAATACCATGACACCTATGAACATATATAAGTATGTTCCTATGGTGTATAGTCAACCCAATAATATTTT